GCACAGGATGTCCTCACCAGACTGACTCAGGGACCTTTGTAGGGGGGGAAAGGGCACGCTTGTGAAGTTCCAGATGTCGGGGAGAGGCGTTCCCCACAGAACAAGGTGTGTTGTTTGCTGTATTTGTGTGGATACCTTTTGTCGGACTATGTTTCTAGTATGATGCTGGCCATTGAACTGTTCCAATTCTTTTATTCGTCCTTTGAGATAATCATGTTTTTCTTTCTTCATGTTGCTGATGTGGTAAGTTACACTGATATTTCAAATACTGAATTGACTTGCATTCCTGGGGTGATCCCTAATTATTATTGATGGACTCTTCCTTTTACATGTTGTCAGATTCAGATTCCATTTGCTGGCATTTTGTTGAGGGCTTTCAAAATATATTTTTTTCTTATTTCTTAATTAAACTTTTGGTTCTGATATTTTAAAAAGTTATAACAGGGGGCACCTGGGTGGCTCAGTCGGTTAAGCGTCTGACTTCAGCTTAGGTCATGATCTTGCGGTCCGTGAGTTCGAGCCCCGTGTCGGGCTCTGTCCTGACAGCTCAGAGCCTGGAGCCCGTTTCAGATTCTGTGTCTCCCTCCCTCTCTGCCCCTCCCCTGTTCATGCTCTGTCTCTCTCTGTCTCAAAAATAAATAAAAGTTAAAAAAAAGTTATAACACTAAACATATTGTGGTACTCATTTTGCAATATGTGTATGTGAAATCACGGTATATTTTAAACTTATACAGAGAGGAATATACAAATTATGTCAAAAACAAATACAAAAGAATTACACACATACCCACATATCATTCCTGGCATGAACACCTCACAAAATGATACAGTTGCTTACATATCCAATGCACACGTCTATACAACTACGCATGCATACACACACCACACACTGAAACTGCATGCTCATATCACACCCACCACGCACACAGCACATACTCACAACATACATCCCTGTGTTTACAACAGTGACTCTAGCTCTTACCTCCTGCACACAAATGCAAAGGCTCCACTTTTGTAATTTCAATACATGCCTTATTTGTGAGCTGGAATAGAAAGAGGGGTGGCAGGTCAGGGACAGTGCACGGGAGGTTGTGGTGAGATGTCACCCCATCCCCTTTCTCCCATCCCTTACTCACTGGTTCTACGATGCTTCTCAGTTCCTTAAATCCATTGTCCACTCCAATCATGTGTTCTGGGCTGTCTGCAATTTCCAACAGCTACAAGGGAGAGGAGGTGACTTGGGCGCATAGGTAGGGGATTAGGACACAGAAGTCCCCATCCCAGGAGGCAGTCTCTTGCCTCATGCCATGTTAGACTCTGAGGCCCAGACCCTGGCCTTGGCCAGCAGCCCACCGTTAGGGAAGGGAAAGCCCTTACTTTACTTTACTCTGCACTTTGGGTATGGAGATTTGACATGACACTTGTTCATTTCTTCCTTGTTAGCCATTATTCTCCTCTGCCGAGGAGCATCCTTGGGCAACCCTGGGAAAGCTGTCTTTGAAAGTTCCTCATCTAGGATTACAGGTGGCACCTGGTTACCTGTTTGGAATTACCTGGTCTTTCCTATAGTCTTTTACACCAATGGCATAAATGGTTGACCCCATTTTCCGAGCCTTTGCAGCCTAAGAGAAGGCAAGTGGTGAGTATAAATCACTAAATATGTGGAACAAAATACTGGTAATGATGGACTGGACTCACTTCGTACTTAGTCTCATCAAAGGACTCTGGTAGCAGTGTTCCATCCGTCAAGGAGATAATCATGGAAGGAACTTTGTTTTCTGCAGAAAAAGCAAGTGGCCTGGTCAGTAAAGGCACCCAAGTGACACTCTGTAGACTGCTGGGTCCACAGCACTTCTCCTCACACCTCCTCCTCCAGAGGACAGGCACCCGACCTTAGCACCCAGTATCAGAAGTGCCTGGAGGACTAGAAGCCCAGTCCTGGAAGGAGGAGGGGACTTAGCCAGGACCCACATTATAGACGGCACTGAGCCCTGCTCCGGCCCTTCCTACTACGGTCACTATGACCAGACGCACAGCTTTTGCCCTGAAAGACAATTCCATTGACTTCACTGGACAAGCGTCAGCCTTTTAGATGAGCAAAGGGAGTGACAGCCAGACTCGACTGTACAAGGTGTCCCGCAGCTCGGTGGAAGGTGGGGTTCTGGCTCAGGGCAGCACGTACAGAAAGACCTGCTGTATTCACAGGACCCAGGGATCCAGAAGGTGAGGTCAGAGGCTCTCGGGCTGAGGATGCCGTGCCCAGCTCAGTGCCTTTCCCCACCAGGCCCATGCTTCTTTCCTGGCAAGAGCTGGAGCCCTAACCTAGATGAACATGGTTCTGGGCAGAGCACAGCCGTTTCCAGTGTTGGAGGCACAGTCACAGGACGACATCAACCAAAGGGAAGGAACCGCAGGGAAAAGGCATCAGGGCCAGAGATGTGATGGAGACAAAGTGTGGGCAAGGGGGAAATCCAGCTCTTTTTTTCTGAAAACAGAATCCTGTCTGCTCCTGGTTCCCTTGGCTTTTCTTGTTCAGGCAGCCCAAGTGTTGGTCAAGCACCTCACAGTTACCAAGAGCCTAGATGGTACACACATGATCCCATGTGGTTCTGAGACTCATCACTGGGGGTGGCTTTCATCCTCACTGCACAGAGGAGGAACCTGTGGCACAGAGAGGGCAAGCACCTTGCTCCAAGAATCAGCGCTAGGAAGGGGCCAAGGAGGGTCTGCACCTCGTTGAGGTCCAGGCCTGGCTCTGTCCCCGCACCTGCCCGTAATGAAGTCACCAGGAAGCTTACCTCCAGAGTTTGCTTTTTCAATCTGCTCATTTGCCTGCAAGGAAATGAAGGAGTGTTGGAGTCCTGGGTGGGAGAACCCAGGATACTCTAAGAACTCCATAAAGCAGAGATCCTCAGAGCTCTAGATTCGGTACCTTTTTAAATCCTTCATGCATGTTTGTAGCTCCAGTAGGCACTGTATTCTGAAGTTTATTAAGACCATCACTTATTTCATTTCTGAAAAAAAATCAGAAAAAGGATTGTGGTGGTATGAGGTATTGACTATTAAAAAGAGCCCAAAGCTAACCTTTGTGCACTGCTGGTGGGAATGCAAACTGGTGCAGCCACTGTGGGTAAAATTATGGAGGTTCCTCAAAAAATTAAAAATGGAAATGCCATATGATCCAGTACTGGGTATTTACCCAAAGAAAATGAAAATGCTAATTTGAAAAGATACAGGCACCCCTACGTTCATTGCAGCAATATTTACAATGACCAAGGTCTGGAAGCAACTCAAGTGTCCAATGATAGATGAATGGATACAGAAGATGTGGTGTATATATTCAATGGAACATTAGCCAGTCATGAAAATTAACAGATCTTGCCATTTCCAACAACATGGATGGATCTAGACGACGTTATGTCGAATGATTAAGTCAGACAGAACGATAAAATACTATATGATTTCGCTTATATGTGAAATCCAAAAAACAAAACAAAGAAGAAAACAGACAAAAATCAGAAACAGACTCATAAATACAGAGCACTAGCTGATGGTTGCAGAGGGGAGGGAATGGTGGGGACGGGCAGAATGGATGAAGAGCAGTGGGAGATACAGGCTTCCGGTTATGGAATGAAAAAGTCACATGAATGAAAGCTACAACAAAGGGAATATAGTCAAGGATGTTGTAATAATGTTGTAGGTGACAAATGGTAGCTACACTTGTGGTGAGCACAGCATAATGTATAGAAGAGTCAAGTCACTAAGTTACACGCCTAAAACTCATGTAAAACTAATGTGTGTCAGCTATACTTCAATAAAAAACGAAAAACAAAACAAAACATCTCCAAGCCATCCTGGAGCCACTGTGCACTGTGCAGACCTGTCTAGTCGGGACAGGATACAAATCAAGTAGCCTGGTCATGACCTTATGATCTGTGTCCTCGATATGAACAGGCCTTGCTCAGGCCTCCTCTGTCCCCCATCTGGTGAGCATGGGGTGGGAGGAGGCTGCTGCTGCTCCCATGGGTATGGCCTGGCTTTTTCTGCACTCACCACTGTCTCAGGCACACTACCTGGGGGACCCTCAAGAGCCCTGTCTTGATCATCCATGGTGAATGTGGGGCACACCCATGGATGTGCCACTGTGAATCTGCACTCACAGTGTGACTGGCAGGGCTGCTAGCACCTACTGGGTCCCTTGGGAAGGCACACTCTTCCTTCAGCAGGTAAGGCTGAGTTTGGAAAAGGTCATCCTGCTGGTAGCCCTGCCCTGTCCCATCTTACCCTATCACAGAATCCTGAGGTTGGTTCGTTGCCCTCCCACCACCCCAAAAAAGCCACTTCCCCTTCTGGATTGACACCAAAGAAAGAAGCAAGCTGCTTAATGAGAGAACTAGGGCTCCTGGGTTCACGTACTCCTGAAGAAAAAGGCCAAAAGCTGGGGAAGTGCCTCGAGTGCTGCCCATGCAGGTGGAGGGGCAGTGCTCCCCTTGCTGCCATGGGTATGTGGCCAGGCGGCTGCTGTTAAGGGTGATTTCACAGGTGGGACTGGGGCCCTAGGTTCAGGATAATCCCATGTGACAGGCCGAGCTGGCACAGCAAGGCTAGGAGAGGTGGGACCCTGAGAGGGCTTCTCACTGTGGGAAGTGGAGATGTTGCTGTGGGGTGAGATCTGAGAGCCCCAGGTCCAGTCCCACCCAGCCCAGGAGGTGAGGCCTGGCACCCATGGACAGTGGAGGCCAAACCAGGTGCTGCTCCACTCAGCAGAAGCCCTCTCCTTCCCTCACCACATACCAGAAGATTTTCTTCCACCCCTTCCCAGTGTCTAGCCCAGGAGCCCCAGGCTTTTTCTTGCCCAAGCAGGCTCTCCCCAGGAAGTGTTGCCCCTCTAACCCTGCTCCCAGCTATGTCCACGGAGGGGATACCAGCTCCTTGTCTCCTAGCAGTCCTTCTTACTCTTTAACACCTGTCTCAACCCCTTGGATCCCCTCCATCTCTTCCCTATCGTCACCCTCCTCGCCATCAACCCTGGGGGCTTCCTAGCCTCTGGGCCCCTGGCTTTTCTAGTACCCAGAACAAGCCCCCTTTCAACTGTGTCTCCTCAGCCTACTCTCTCCTAGCAGAAAGGGCTCAGAAAGCATTAAGCAGGGTCCCATCCCTGCTCCCACATTCTCTGCAGACCCTCCAGAATCACACCTATATCAGGCTTTAGTGTCCCCTCCTGGATTCTCTCTGCGTGAGGTCCTTCCCAGGCTCCCTGCCAAAGGCCTCCTCAACTCCTAGGCAGTGGGGCATGTTTAGGAAGGCCAATCCCAGGCTGAGCCCAGCTCCAGTCAAGGTCCTGTGGGGGTTTAGGAGCTGGAAGCTTTAGGGCCCTGATCTGAGTGTGAGCTGTCTTCCCAGATGCATATCTTGCCCCTTCCCACCAATTTCACACCATTTCCACTCCCCTAGGCCCCACTCCCACTCCTGAACCCTGGCTTGGGGAAGATGTTACTTTGTTCACTCTCCAGAGATGACCAGGGAGACTCTCCCTGAGCCCCCCCCCCCCACAGCGTCTCACATCTGGGCCCTGAGCCCCCCACCTTGGAGGAGGCAGAGGTCTTACCCTCCCCAGTGGGCAGCTCTTCCTCCAGAGCCCCCTGCCCAGCAGCCCTGTATCTCTCTGCCACCTGCCAGCGTCTCTCTTAATGGACTTGCTTCCTTCCACCTCAACCCCACTCAGGTCTCTCTGTCCTAATGCAAAACCCCACCTACGCACAAATTTGTGCCTCCACTAGTGCTTGGAGCAGTCAGCCCTCTCTTCCTGCTTGTCCTGGAGTCAGGCAGGAGAGTGCTGTCTCCATGCACTGACACCACCACACCCCTCCCCTGCAGGCTGGCTGTTCACTCTGTTGCTCTTGGCTTCTTCCCATGGTCCTGAATGTGGCTCTGTGACACAAATACTGGGGCCCACCTAGTCCTAAGGGTGCTCAACTTCTCCTTGATGCTTAACTTTCTCTGAATTGGGCTCCAGTCATTTGTGTTTTGAGAATCTTAACCTCCTTACCCAGCTACTCAAAGCTCCATAATTCCCAGTTTAAAGACTTTGGGAAAACTGCTGTTCCCACCATGGCCAACCTAGGATGGTGGTCATGCCATTCTCAAGCACCCTCTCCCAGCCTGATGCTTAGGACCCCACTCTTGGGGTCCAATGTCTCAGACCCACTTAAGGAACAAGATCCCTTCACTGAGACCATCAAAACTTTGATGCTGCTCAACCCTTCCTCCCTGGTTATGACTTTTTCTCACTGGAATCCCCACTGGCCCAAGGTAGAGAGTGACACACAACAGCAGGTTCTTAATGCAGGTCACCATTTATAAAGAAAACATACACCTGCTCCAAAAAATTCTGGGAGTCCTCACAGCCAGCCTGTTCTAAGAACAGGGAACAATGAAGATAGAAGGACTCAGGCAGGTGAAAGGCAAAGCTTAGAGGGGGTGGAGATAGTCAAGCTGCACAGGGTTGGCCATTGTCAGAGCAGCCGGGGGTCTGAGAGGGCAGGGGAGCTAGACCTGGGCATCAGGGTATACAGTGGAGTCCAGGCCTGCCCAGTAGTCTTCACAGCAGTGGGCTTCCCACTGTGATCTCAGGGAACCCATTTTCCCCCTGGCTGTTTCATCAGTCTCACCCACTGGGCCTGTCTTGGGGGTCAATGTGGCACTTACTTATCTGAGGTGAGTTTCATGAGGGTGTGGCCCTCTGTGGAGTAGGTGATGAAGGATATCCGCAGTTTCGGGCTGGGGAGAAAGCACATGCTTGTGAGAAGTCACCAACACAGGTTGCAAATGATGAACGAGCAGCCAGGGAGAGGTGCATGACAGTTTCCCTGCCCCATCCCAATTCTTCTGCTTTGGGGTCCATTTCCCAAACCCCAGAGCTTCCTATAACCTTAGTAAGGAATTCTGAGGTCTGTAAGATGTGTGGCCTTCTAGGAAGGGAGGAGTGTCCATCCTTACACTCACAACACCCCAGTAGTGTTTGTCTGTTTGCCTATTTGTCTCTCTCTCTCATGTGCACATGCATGTGCATGCACACACACAGGCACTCACACAGATAGCTGCTCACACAGACGGCTGCATGCAAAAGGAGATAGACATCTACACACTCCTGCAGGAGGGACTTCCACCTGGCCTCTCTTCTGTAACATTCTTTGGAGCTTCACTGCCCTTCCTTCCTTGCCTGTCTTCCCCAGCTCAACTCTTCTCATCTCAAAGAAATTATCTTCCCCCTTGCCAGCCATTCATATACATCCCTCTCTTTCCTGCTCTTGTCCACTGTCTTCTGGTTTGTTGACCCTCATTATCCCTTGGCTAAATTGGTACCATAGATCCCCAGCTGAATTCCCTACTGCTTTTAGCTCTTGTTCCCACTCATTTTACCCACTTTTGCTAAACTTTTCTTCTTAACACACTACCTTACTCATGTCAGACCTCTAATCATGAATCATGTTGCTCCCTATTGCTCACAGCAGGAGATCTAGGTCCTGTGTGCTGGCATTATGAGCTGCTATGGCCATGGCCCCAAGCTGACATGCACACAGCCTCATCTCCCAGCCCTACCTTGAGTTAAACCTACTCTGCTGCCAAACAGACTACTCATTCCACAAGAAGTCTCCCTGATGGTTCCTGTTACCCTGTCTTTCCCATCCATCAAAGCCTAGTTAATATTGCCACATCTTCTGGAAGCTATCCTTGAATTAAAATTCTTTCTTTTTCCTTAAGCTCATCATATAAGCCCTTTGCCTTTTCTTTTGACCCCTGACACCTTTAAACCAGGTGTTTAATTATTATGTTACTGGTTTGCCTGTTTCTTAATCTATTAGGTCCTCAAAGGCAGACTGTGTCCTCAGTCATATAGCTTCTCAGGCAGGAGCCAAGTAAAGCTGTTGGGGCCCTTGGAATCACTGCAATTTGTCTTTTCCTCACTGTGGGCTCTGTGCTCCTGCATGAAGGGACTCCAATGCTCACGAGTCCAAACAGCTCTGTGCTGGGTTTAGCAGAGGAAATCACACTATTAACACAGAGAAGCCATACTTTTCGAACTTTTTGACAAAATGTTCCACAAGGTTGTAAATGTCCATCCAGTTGTTGTTCACACTGCCTGACCTGAAAATGAAGAAACATGAGTGAGAGGGATGAGTTACATCTGTCGTGTAGGAATAGTTTCTGCCTTCTCTGCCCTCCTGCAGGCTCTTCAGCAACCTCCTCATCCCTACTCTCTTCCACATAGCTAAAGTCTGCCACACACCTTCAGTGACTTCAGCGGGTCACCCTGGTGGTGACTTTCATCAGTGTGAATTATGGGAGACCTGTGTGCTTGGGACTGAGGGACTTCTGAGGTTGCCACCTCTGGTGGCAAACCAGGATATTTGGTCATACTAGGTGAGACTGTTGGACAAGAAACAAGGGGGACGCATTGGTTGGCAAAGCCTCCACCAGTTCTGATCTGTTGGCTCTCCTGGTTGCCATTGTTTCCCAGATGAATGCTCCTCCCCTGCCCCTTGAAGGTGTGGGTGGTTTGGTGTGAGGCAGAGCTCTTTGGCACCACATCCCTACAAAGTAATCTTGGCTTTTCCTTTCTATTATTCCTTCTGCCTCTGCTATATCTAAAACTGCCAGTAGATGATGAGGAAACTAAGGATAGACGTTTCTAATGATGTCAGGATTATTATTCATGGACACATACATACCAGACACTTTACATGCATGATTTCCAATTCCAGAGCAACTCTATGATATCAGCATTATTCCCATTTTACACATGAGATTCACAGGTCATGACATTTGTCACAATTTCCATAGTTAGCATGGATCTGAACCCAGATCTAGCTTCAAAACCCATGCTCTACCCATCGTACTAGGCAGATCAGGGTGAGTTGGACAATTGCTGGGTAGCAAATTACTAGACTCTGACAACCAACCTATGACGCAGACTTTATCTCAGAAGCTTCCATGCTAAAGTGCAGGACAACTTCCTTAATTAATGGTAACCCTTTCCATGCTCCTTCTTATTACTTTTCTTTCCTGTTTTCCCCCTGTGTGAAAAGGATCTTCCACAGAAGATTTATAGGAAACAAGAGTCTACAACTCACCTACTTACTCTGGGGAAGTTTCCAGTTTGTGATGATTTTGAAGAAAGGTTTAGACTCTAGACCATAGACAAACATGAGTATTCATTGGCCATAGAAAATACCACAGGACTTATAGATCCCTAGGAAGGAGGCAGTATGGAAAACAAGTATGTGGGCTTCTAGTACAGAGAGCTCCAGTCATGTTCTAGTGACTCACTCTTAAATGAGAATGGAGATGATTAGCAGATATTTGAAGATATTGCTATCATTGAAGCTTGCGGCCAAAACACCCTAGTGATACAACTATGCTGGGAGAATGGAAAGGATGGGGAAAAATCAGATAGGGGATCTGAGCTACAAGAAAGCTTAATTCCCTTTCCTCATAATAAGAAGTCAATAGAGAATGAGTAAATCTCGAACAGCAAAAAGCAGCATCAGTACTAACATGTTATTAGAAACAGGGTCATATTACCAGAAGAAAAATCTGCAAAATGATGGATAAAAACACAAGTCCCAACTAATTGCTTCCTGCCAGAGACTCATTAAGCTTTAAAGACACATGTAGGTTCAATGTGAAGGAACTCAAGATATTCCATCCAAGTGAAACCAAAAGAAATTAGTTATACTTATATCAGACAAAATAGACTTTAAGCCAAAAATGGTAACAAGAGTCAAAGAAAGTTATTACATAATGATAAAATGGTCAATACATCAAGAAGATATAACAATCATAAATACATATGTACTCAACATCTGAGCACCTAAATATATTAAGCAATACTAGCAAATCTGGAGAAAAGATAACAATACAATAATAACAGGCAACTTCAATGCCCCAGTTTCAGCAATGGATAGATCATCTAGGCAGAAAATCAACAAGGAAACATTGGAATTGAACCATATCATGGTCAAATGGACTTAATAGACATATATAGAATATTTCATCCAACTTTTTCAGAATGCACATTCTTTTCTGGTCCACACAGATTATTCTCCAGGATAGATCATATGACAGGACACAAAACAAATTTTAGCAAATTTAAAAATACTTAAATCATACCAGCTATCTTTTCCAACTACATGGAATAAAAAACAAGAGGAAGGAGCACCTGGGTTGCTCTGTTGGTTGAGCATCCAACTCTTGGTTTCAGCTCAGGTCATGGTCTCATGGTTAATGAGATCAAGTCCTGCAACGGGCTCTGCACTGACAGCACAGAGCCTACTTGGGATTCTCTCTTTCTCTCTCTCTGTCTCTCTGCCCCTTCCCTGCATGTGCTCTCTCTCAAAATAAATAAATAAACATTTAAAAAGCAAGAGGAAATATGTAAAGTCTACATTTATATGAAAATTGAACAACATACTTTTGAACAACCAATGCATGAAAGAAAAAAACCAAATGGGAAAATAAAACCTTAAAAGTAATGGAAATGGAAACAAATAGCAAAACCTACAGAATGTTGCAAGTGCAGTTCTGAGAGGAAAATTTATAGTGATAAATGCATATATTAAGGATATAGCAAAATATAAAAAAAACCCTTACTTTACATGTCAAGGAACTGGAAAAAAAGAGAAGAGATTAAGTCCAAAGTTAGCACAAGAAACAAAATAACAAAGGTGCTGAAATACATAAATTTAACTTAAATTAGAAATAGAAGAGGAGACATTGCAACTGACACTATAGAAATACAGGATCATAAGAAACTACTCTGAATAATTACATACCAACAAGTTAGAAAATCTAGAACAAATGGATAAATTCCTAGAAACACACAAACCTGCCAAAACTGAAACATGAAGAAATATAAAATTTGAATAGACCTATGTCTAGTAAAGAGATTGAATCAGAAAACACAAATCTTCCCAAAGAGAAAAGCCTGGGACCAGATGGTTTTGTAGGTTACTGTCACCAAACATTTAATGAAGAGTTAACACCGATTCCTTCCAAATTCTTTCAAAAAATGGAGAAGAGGGAACACTTCCAAACTCATTCAATGAGGCCTGAATTACCTTGATATCAAAGCCTGACAAATACTACAAGTACAGACCAATATCCTATAGGAATACGGATGCAAAAATCTTCAACAGCAACAAAAATCTAGCAAACTGAATTTAGCAACATATTAGAAGATTTTTATTCCATGACCAAGTAGGATTTATTTACACAATGGAAACATGGTTCAACATGCAAAAATCAAACAATGTAATTAACAGAATAGAAGAGAATTAGCAGAATAGATTGGAAAAAAAAACAACCAACTACATGATCATTTCAATTGATGTAGAAAAAGGATTTGATAAAATCCAAAATACTTCCTTCACAAAAATACTCCCACTAGGAATAGAGAAATGTTGTATGACAAACATAATAAGGGCCATACATGAAAAACCCACAGTTAACATATTGATGGTGAAAGACCAGAGCTTTTCCCAAGATCAAAAGTAATACAAAAATGCCCAGTTTCATAATTTCAATTCATTGTAGTATTGGAAGTCTAGCCAGATCAATTAGGCAAGGGAAAAAAAAAAAGGCATCCAAATTGAAAAGGAAGATGTAAAATGATCTCTCTTCTTAGATATGATCTTACCTGTAAAAAACCCCATAGATTCCACACACAAAAAACTATTTGAGCTAATAAAAGAATTCAGCAAAATTTCAGGATACAAAATTAACATATAAAAATCAGTTGCATTTCGATATACACTAACAATGAACATTCCAAAAAGGAAATTAAGAAAATAAATCCATTTATAATATTATCAAACAGAACAAAATATTTATGAATAAATTCAACCAGAGGCAGAAGACTAGTACACTGAAAACTACAACATATGGCTGAAGGAACTTTATATTTGTTTAATGTTTATTTATTTTGAGAGAGAGAGAGAGAGAGTGGGGAAGGGGCAGAGAGAGAGGGGGAGAGAGAGAATCCCAAGCAGGCTTCACACTCAGCACAAAGCCCGACATGGGGCTTGATCTCATGACAATGAGACCATGTTTGGAGCTGAAATCAAGAGTCAGATGCTCCACTGACTAAGCCACCCCTTAGACCCTATGGCTGAAAGAAATTTAAAAGACACAAATCACTGGAAGAACATCACATGTTCAAGCTGGCAATACTAGCCAAGGCTATCTACAGTTTCAATGCAATCTTTATTAAAATGTCAATGACGGGGTGCCTGGTGTCCAACTTTGGCTCAGGTCATGATCTTGCAGTCTGTGAGTTTGAGCCCCACGTTGGGCTCTGTGTTGACAGCTCAGAGACTGAAGCCTGCTTCAGATTCTGTGTCTCCCCCTCTCTCTGTCCCTGCCCTTCTCATGCTCTGTCTGTCTGTCTCTCTCTCAAAAATAAATAAAGATTAAAAACATTTTTTTTACGGGGCGCCTGGGTGGCTCAGTCGGTTGAGCGGCCGACTTCGGCTCAGGTCATGATCTCACGGTCCGTGAGTTCGAGCCCCGTGTCAGGCTCTGTGCTGACCGCTCAGAGCCTGGAGCCTGTTTCAGATTCTGTGTCTCCCTCTCTCTCTGACCCTCCCCCGTTCATGCTCTGCCTCTCTCTGTCTCAAAAATAAAAAAAAACATTAAAAAAAATAAAAAAAAATTTTTTTTAAAGTCAATGACTTTTTTCTTGCAGAAACTGAACAATCCGTCCCCAAATTCATATTGAATCTTAAGAGACCTTAAATAGTTTTAAAAAATCTTGAATAAGAGCAAAGGTTGTGGACTCACATTTTCTGGTTTCAAAGTTTATTACAAAGCTACAATAATCGAAATAGTGTAGTACTGGCATAAAGACAGACATATAGACTAATGGAATAGAATAAAGAGCACAGAAATAACCCCTCATATATATGTTCAGTTGATTTTTGACAAGGATGCCAAGGCCATTCAATGTGGGAAGGGACATTATTTTCAACAAATGGTGCTAGGAAAACTGGATGTTCACATGCAAAACAATGTAGTTAGGCTCTTATGTCATCCACAAAAATTAATTCAAATGAATCAAAACCTAAATGTAAGAACTAAAAATATTAAACTTTTTAGAAGAAAATATAGGGGAAACCTTCATGCTGTTGGATTTGGTAATGGTATTTTGGATATGGCAACAAAAGCACAGGTAATAAAAGAAAAAACGGATCAAACTTCATCAAAATTAAAAACTATTGCATGATTCCACTTACATGAGTTACCTAGAATAGGCAAATTCATAGATATAGAAAATAGAATTGAGGTTCCCACGGTTTGGGGAAGGATGAATGGGGAAATAGTGTTTAATGTATACAGATTCCAATGAGTTCTGTCCTCATCAAAGCACATAAGCCATGGCTAGCTTGAGGGGTTGTGAGGGGTCCTGAGAAGGAAAAAAATAAAAGGCATGGGATAGTTCACCAAAAGTGGTACACAGATCAACAGACTGTCTCTGCATAGTCCTGTTCTGTTCACCTGAGCTGACGGAGAAGCTGTGAGACCACAAACAAGCTGAGTACGGATGCTCTTTCAAGGATGCTCCTTCAGCTGTCATCCCCTCTAAGATCCTTTCACCTGCAGAGTTGCCTTACCTAAGAGCATGCCTTTCCTGAGGTTCCCACCTGAAATGACTGATGGCCCAATCGTTTGGCCCAACTTGGCATAGCCCTGAAGGCACCTTTTAGCTCCAAAGCTCCCCATGAATCAGGTGAGGCTGTCATGTCTGCATTGAAGCTCCACTGAATCCTATTTTTGCCTGTTCTCTTGCACAGATATTAATGTCAAGGCATCCCCTAATGAGCATCCTGCACAGGCTTCATCCTTCGCCTGGATGGGTCCTGAAGCTCTCCCTCTCTCCTCTATGGAAACCCCTCTTCCTCCACCAGTGCCACACATGTGGGTGCTCCCTAAATTCTGTCTTCCCTTTCTCCTCTCAGTAGACACACCTGTTCTGAGCTCCTAATTTTTTCTCCAGCCTCACAGTCCTCCTGGGACCTTCTAGGCCCTTCCCCTTTCCACTCCAGCCATGCTATCATCCTTCCCCCTTCCAATCTATCCTTCCCAAGGCAGCCAAGAGGTATTTTTGAAAACACAGTTCTGATCCTTCTCTCCTTTGATAAAAGTGATTCTTTCAATAATGTCCAGATGCCCTTGAAGTGAAAAACACACCTCTACATGTGCGCAAGGCCTCACTACTGGCCTGTCCCCTTCCCTTCTCCCCCTGCCCCCAGGATCCTCTGAGGGCCTCACTTCTCAGGCCTTTGCACTGGCCACTCCCTCAGCCTGGAGCTCCCTGGCCCACCATCTCCCTGGTGCCTGAGAAAATAGTGCAGGCACACAGCATGGCTCACTAATTTTCATCCAGTTCAATTTAGTGTATGACCAAATAAATAATGAATCTAGTGAATAAGGTTGGAGTGAACCACTCAAGGCTTTCCTGCAGGTGACAGACTATGTTTGCTTCCAAAACCACCGCAGGGACCCACTCAGCCTCAGGGACTTTGGAATGGGCTTTGGAGGGAGACATTCCAGAGTTTCAACTCCTGTTCCATGTCTTCCCATCTGAGGGCTTTAGGGGGTCATTCCTTGGCCCTGCGTGGCTTCCTTCCCTCATCTGTGAAATAGGGGTAATAACATTTACCTACAGAAGACTCAGCGATGAAGCTGCTTCCCCCTTTACCCTTGTCCCTAGTCCAGAGAAATGCCCCAGTCATGAGCAACTCCCTCATTCAATATGTATAGATTCTTCAAAATAGATCCAGAATCTGTCCACTCAGCACCTCCACCCCTGCCCTACTGGTCCATACTCCCATTATCTCCTCCCTGAATCCCTGCATTAGCCTACCCCCCCACTCACCACCACCACCACCACACTGGTCTGCCCTTGGGCCCTTCATTTGTGATCTTTTCAGCCAAGACCCAATGGCATGCCCTCTCTGCTCAAAAACACCCTCTTATCCCCCTTCGTCTTCTAGTCTGTCAGCCCCACCTTCCCAGACCACCTCTTCAGAACAGGCCCTCCCTCAGCACTTCCCATCCTTCCGCCCTGATTCCGGCCCCCACCGCCAGCCTGTGCTAATCCCATCTGACACACTACTTCCTCTCCTCTTTTATTTATTTCCTCTCTCCTCATGGAAACTCCAGGAAGTGTTTGATGCCTTATCCCCATGCCCAAACAGTGACTAACATACTCAGTTGCTCAGTCATTATTTGTGAGTGGATGAATTGTTAAGGGAATGAATGAACGAATAGAACTGCTCATCACATGGGTGAGAGGTCCCAGAGAGCCTTGGCAGAGTCAACAAGCAGAGGCATTTGACCTCTACCCTGGCACCCCAAAGGGCAGTTCAGAAGAGAGCTGATCCAGGGAGGACAGGGGGGCCCTGCAGTGCTGGGGAGTTCCCAGCCCCAGTGTGCATGACTCTGCCTTCTCTAGTAGCATTTTATACTCATCTTCCACAATTGTATCTGCTGCTGTGCTGGGAAAACTGCCTCCAAACTCGCCTTCATCCTCATCACAACCTGGTGAGGTGGGTATGAAGATCCCCATCATACATACGGGACCCTGAGGCACAGAGATGTGAAGCAGTTTGTTCAGGGGTTCGTGACTGGTGAGTGCCGTCTGCCTGACTTGCACACTTGGGGCTGCCCCCTCAGTGGTCATTACTCCCCTTTCCCCAAGAGCCACAGGGAGAAGTGCCTGATGGAGTCTGTCCTCACCCTCCAGGAATTTCTCATCAAGCTGGCCCTCAAAGGAAGTGTAAAGCCTTCTTCAACCAGACTGGGTGTGCGCAGGTCCTGGGGAGATGGTGTTATTTCCCTGGGGCTGAGGAGTTTGCTATGGTTTCAGACAAGCCTGGCCTGGTAAACCATAGGCAGGATCTAGCTGGACTCCTCACTGATGACCTGGGGCTGGGAAAGGGGTGTGTAAGGGCTCTTTCATGGACACCCTCAGCTCCTCTCCAATCCGCACAATCCAGCAGGATTCAGTCCTGACACTTGTTCTTCTGGCTTGTCAAACTGAATGACCCAGAGAAAGGCTGTCAACCCCCTTACTGCCTTTCTACCCCCAGCCCTAATGCCTAAGAGAGAAACCTCCATCCCCCTTGGCCGTGCCAAGTATCACTGAGGCAAGACCTGCCCAAGGCAACTCAGAAGTCCCTCCACAGGACAATGAGGAAGGACTTATTCCAGTGGGCAGGGTGGCTCCCATCTCTGCTGGCTTTGCTTAGAAGCTGGTGGCTGAACACACATCCCCCTAGTCATCAGCCTCCATGGAGAATAGAAGGACTCAGAGGCAGTACAGCCTGGGATGCTGCCATCAGGACACACAGGAAGCTGAGTCTTGCCACGCCCATCAGCTTTGGGGCTACTTCATCCAGCCTTTAAATGCCACCCTCTTTCCATGAGATCGCAAATGCAAATGCCTCTCTACTCTACATTCCACGGTGGTTTTGTGGATGACAGAAGTGCAGTAGAAGGGCTTTGGAGACCAAAATGTGCTTCAACAATATTATCAACAATCATATCACTGATAGTATTGACTCACTAAAGTTCATTCTCAATCCAACAGACAAGTTGCAAATGGAACCAAAGCAATGTCTCCAATCTCTCCAAGCATGAAGATCCGTCCCCTTTTGAGGATCACAAGGTGCCCTGCTTCCCAGGACAATACCAGGTCAGACATAACTGTTCTCAAAGTGCAAACAAACTGTAACTAGTCTCCAAGCAGTTGAAGAAGAAAGCAAAACCATTGGCAGGAAAACAAAGGGCTTTCCTTTCCTTTCCTTTCCTTTCCTTTCCTTTTCTTTCTTTCTTTCTTTCTTTCTTTCTTTCTTTCTTTCTTTCTTT